GACGTGGATTGTCTCTAAAATATAAAACACTTGCCCTCTGCAACTCCGAAGATGAAGCCCTCGAAACGAAGAGAGAAAACGAGCAAATAGTATTACCAATTGTCCTTTTTTGAAACGGCCGAATACACTATGGCGGAGCTGACAATAGAAAGACAATAATTGAAATATGACACCAAATGGAAAATTCTAAACCCCACGGGTCATGGCGGAGCGGAGAAAGAGAAGAAACATGTGACAGATTTAGACAAAATGTTAACTACCTGATATACCCCTTTGCGTAGCTTTCAATGTCAACTTCTGATTGGACGATTCGATGGCAAGCTTTGATTGGGCGACGCTAAATAAAGAGTCAAGATTAGTCATGCACTCACGTGATCTCTACACCAAAGGATGTTGAGCCATGGCTATGTATGGGATGTAACAAAAAATAAATATTGAATGGGTAAAAATGTGGGGATAGCTCATTGCACATCACTGAGTTATTCAAGCAGGTTGGTTTCTACTGCTAATTGAGGAATACTTTTACCAAGACCTCTTCTCTTGGCTAGTATATTGGTTGATTTTATTTAAAGTATTGTTTCTTGCTCTGGAGATGTCTGTCAAACAACAGTAAGGTGTAGCTCGGGATGGTGAGCCGATGACTTATTCGCACCATCCAAAAGTCCCCATTCAAAGACAATGCTCACTTGCTTTTTGGTGAGACGAATTTCTACCAGACAACTTTTTCTTCGAAATGAAAATTGGGTCGCACTAAATGACTAAGGAATTCTTCGAAACCCAGTTTTTCCTTATATAAATTTACCTTCTTAAATTATTGCATTATTAGATTATATTCACAATTTTATTACTCTTCTCTACTCATATTATTCTATATTATTTTTGTCCTAATAAACAAACGCTTTACTTTGTTATTTTATTACTGCTTCGGTAAAGTTATTCTTAATTCTAAAACTACTCTGATCTAACTTTTTCTTTATTCAATAAATTTCTGTTAATTGTGTTAACACTTTCACTGGAAGTTAAACCTATTTTTCTATTCTTTTATGAGTTCGGGCTACTCTGTTTTATTATTTTCTTGTCTATAGTCTGCTAAATTGCATCCTTCATATATATGAATAGCTTTAATTTTATCAAACCTTAACCCAATTGAAATTGTTTGACCTTGTTCTCGCAACTTGGTCATATTGGTAGGAAGACTAATAGGAAAGTAACTTGTCCTGAGTCCATTGTATGCATAATTATTTTCAAAGTCGGACCCTGGACGCGGTACATTCTCAGACGTTTCGCCGGCATCGTAACGGCATCGTCAGTGAGTTTTACCATTCGTAGCACTATCTTACAACTCGTCAAAGAGACAAGTGAAGCCGATCCATCAGTGAGTTTTACCATTCGTAGCACTATCTTACAACCGTCAAAGAGACAAGTGAAGCCGATCCATTGACCAAATGTGTGCTAAACAGTTATGATATCTCCCGTTCACATTCCCAGACGTTTCGCCGGCATCGTCAGTGAGTTTTACCATTCGTAGCACTATCTTACAACTCGTCGGAGACAAGTGAAGCTGATCCTTTGAAGGTGAGTTTTACCATTCGTAGCACCATGTTACAAACTCGTCAGAGACAAGTGAAGCCGATCCTTTGACCAACCCTGTCCTAAACGGTTATGGTATCTCCTATTCTGCCCTGGCCTATTCACATTTCCTATATTCTCCTAGCACACCCTCAATGTCACCATTTTTTAAATTTTTATTTGCTTAATTAAATGTGGTACGGTGTGCCCTTTTTTAAATAAAGGCGGCTTTTCTGAGAAACCTCCGCACTCCACGATGGCCCTCACAGCATCCTTCATTCTTGTGCTGGGAATGTTCATCAGGCTCTGCTATATTGTTACGCAGTCCTCCTTAGGTCTTACAACAGTCTCTCTCTTGCCCTGTAAGATTCGTCTGCA